TCTGCTCCGAGAAAAATAACTAGAAACATCATAGAATTTAAACAACTCCAACTAGTCGCCCTACTTTCATTTGATATTACTGCGGCAACTCCTGGCATCCAAGTATAATTAAATCCCATATATTGAACACTACATTTGATTAAAAAAAAGATAGAATCATACTTTCAAGACCCTTATTTGAATACGCTGGATTTCTTGTATCAAAACAACTAAACAAAAGATGCCTATAGGGAGAAGCACTGTCTCAGTTACTTTGGAAGTCATTCTCAATGGCCTCCTCGTCCTTCCGCCTTACTAAAAATTCAAACATTCGTCCTGTAGCATATATACTGATGATGTGACCATCGTTCTCTGGGCCACAAATATAATGGACTTGAGGAATTTAATCCAAACAGTTCTTCATGTGATAGACGATTGGTGAGATGACACTAAACTATCTTTATCGACAGAAAAAAAAAACAACTTATTTTCATAATCAGCCTCATTAAACAATAAATCACAAAGGAGTAAGCCTGATAATTACCAATCAAATAAATATACTCTGAGTCTCTTCTTTCTCTCTCTCTCTCTCTTCTTCTCAGATAACAAAAGAAACAAAAACAAGATCAAAATTTCAAGCCCCATAGAGGATATTGTAGCTCAAGGCAACAAATTAGAAAACATTTTTTTTCTCAATTTGCAAAATATTTTGGGGGTTTGACTATAAGAAAAGAAGTACAATTTGTAAATCACTAATATTTTTGCTAGTGAACCTTACCTTATTACTTATGCTAGCGAAATATGGTATCCATATATACATTATTTACAGAAACTTCATTCATTAAAACATAATATTGTTACGTAGAAAGAAAAGCACATTCCAGAATGGAGAGAGAATATTCTAGAACATTTAAGAATAATGTAGAAAAAGCGGGAGACAACTGATTGGCCAATCTAAAGCTATTCAGCAACGCTCGATGCTGGCGGCTTTCTGATTGGCTGACCAACCGTGACCGTTCTGGAAAGATCTACTCCGGGATATGTAGGGAGGAGAAACTCATGCAAAGAAGAAGGAGAAGAAAAATAAGAAAAAGAGAGGTCGAAGAACGAAGCCAGTGTACTTCCTGGAATATTCTATAAGGTTCTACGAACTTCTGTCTCCTGTTCTGCTTCTGCTTTCCCTCACCGTGCTGCAGTTGGTGAGTTTGTAACTGCTGTGTTCTTTATTGTTGTTTCACTTTTGCGCTCTTCTGTAATTATTTTATCGATTAGGCTTAAATAAAGTCCTAAAGATCCTTTGTACCCACCGAAGTTATTCTTTGTTAACCAACAACGCAACAATATTCTTATCTAAATGGTAACATGGATATCGAACCATATCATATAAATGTTCACACCTCCTTTCGCATACACCTTTCATAAAATACTATCTCATATGTTGCGTTCCCTGGTTTGGATAGATGAAAAGGGAGGATACACGATGTGACTTATTAAAGTTTCCTTACTTAAGTATATATATATATAGCAATTTAGGCCAACAACCCCATGTATATAACCCGCAGCAAGACCTACAGATCAACTGTAAATAGATTCACATTAAGGCATTTTTATAACCCAAATAACAAAAACAATAGTCAAACATACAAATCTGTTTGCATCATGCCGTACCCTCCTAACAGCGTAAAAATAGCCCGAGGAATCAGAAAATATGGTATAATGGTAAATATGATGGAATAACGCACTGAAACACATAAAGGTACAAACATTACTAAAACTTGACAGATAGATACCCTCAAAGTAGCCCTAATAAAGTCGTAATTTTGCAACTGTTGCTGTGTCAATATATCACAGCAAAGATATAGTACACAACTCTATTTCAACAGAGTCGGTTGTTCTATAATTTGTACACTTTGTGAAATTAAGGTGTGGGGGGTAGTACCATAAAGCAAAAGGAATGAAATATGTATGAGAGGAAACAAGAAATTTTCTCTAGATATTTATTTAAATAAATTAAAATTTGGGAACATGTCTATACTGACGAGATATGCTATTTACATAGTAAAATTTAGATAGAGGTGACCTGAAGTTACTTTATAGCCCTTTAGGGCCCATGCGAAATCTAGGTTGGTTACTACACAAAAAGGGGGGGGGGGCGCTAAGTCATAATGACAAATGGCTTACCTTTTCTCGAAAGTGCCGGCAAAGGTCTGGTCTCCCGTCTGAAAACTGTCCTCTCACTGAGCGACTCCGATTGAATCTGCCTTTTGGCAAAGAACCCTCTTTTATTCATGTCTCTCTCCGTTTTCATTCGCCGAAAGAAACACCAATCAAAATGGCCAACGGCTCCAGTATACAATTTCACAGACGCCCCAGGCCTCTCCCATCAAAATAGAACATATAGTATTACCAAAACAAAAAATCTAAAGAGAGAAACAGCTACGGCGATAGTGTAAAATTTCAGACCCCAGGCCCCCCCTTCCACATGGATTGAAATACTATCCTCCCTTTTTCTCGGGACGGTATATATATCGCCCCCCCCCCCCCCCCCCGTTTTGGCTAAAAATCGACCCAGGCCCCTTTTACCTGGACTGTAATGTGATGCTTCCTTTCTCGGGAAGAATATTTTATAAGGTTCAGTCTTTTAGAGATCTTCCTTCTCCATTTTTTTTTCTGGTCACCTTTACCTAAATTTTTGGTGAGGGGAATATATGTACATATGGAACAACAGCTTCCAGCGCGGATGTCCCTGGATGTCACTGGTGTCTTCTTCACCAGGCATCAGCTTTCGGCATGGAAGTCTGGTGTCATCAATTGTCTAGGTTTCTGGGCAAAAAGATGGTCTGTAAGTCTATGTGGGAGGGAAGCCATGTATCCATTTGATTTGATTATACATACGCCTTCTGTTGGGGTATGGTTACAAAAAACGTGCCCCAACAATCCTCCCCCTGCCAAGTAATGGACAAATGCGTTTGTGCTATTCATTATTCATCTGCCTTTCATCAGTTACTATGAAAGCAGGCCCATTTCTAGCAAAATGCATTTTCCATTACTAGGTGAAGCCAGGTGTACCGAAACCTATAGGGAAGATAAGGCTAATCAAAATGATGGTATGCTATTCTAGATGTTTATTATTCCGAACATTAGTGGGCATTGTGCGTCCTGGCAAAGGGGTTTTTTATGTGTTATTATTCTGTCAGCACACTGTTATCAACATAGGTTATGGGGGACAGTCATATCATATGTATGGAAGTAAGCAAGGTCATCTGTCTTACCATTCATGGGTATATATACCACCCTTCCACTTTCTTCTTTGGTCTTGAGGAGTAGGCCTTCCTTGTGGTAGGTCCTCTCAACCCCATCCTTGCCTCTGGTGTGCTGGTTTCATTGCTACCTTCTTTCTGCTAACAATACAGTTAGAACATTTCCCTATTACATATTATATAAAAAAAATTTGGGCGCCAAGAAGTCGTTTAGAAATAACTGACTAGTCCAACTCCTAAAACATGCCAGCATCTTTATTTAAGTACCAATCAAGACATTTGTGTGGTATAGTTATACATATACAATCAAAGGAAAGGATAATTATAGTTAGCTGAAAGAAATATCTTGGTATATAATGATTAACCTATGACATGATGACTTTTGCTAAATAAAAAAAAGATTACAGAAAACAAATTGTGAAAGTAATTATTAAATAAGGCACGAAATATGTAATGATAAAATGAATCCTTCCATGTTATATGATGGGTATAATATATATATTGAAGAAAACACGTATCATGCAGATAGTGATTAAATATGATAAAAATCATCCCATGATAGATGATAAAGAAAACTACTACAAAATTATATATGATGACAAAATATATATACTTATACAAGTAAGGCGGATAAAAGACAATAAGGATAAAATGGATCATGCCTTGAGGGAAGAATAAGCCATGACAACATGTTAAAAAAATCGCAACATGGCAGGTAAATATTACTAATATCATGAATATCAAAGGAAATAAAATTGTTGAAATGAATAGCATATGATTATAATATAATATATATGATATAAAATAATAACATATTCAATAAGAAAATGAAAACACATTATATATATTTGTGCGCTGAAGGATCAAGGTTTAGTATCTCAATTAAGTTTTCAATCTTATTCAGTCTGGAATCACGAGTTGGTCACTGGGTAATATTCGTCTATCCCGATCCTACTGGAGGGTGTGTTTTCTCTTATGTGTTAGATTCCTCAAATTACAATACTCTCTCAACCCAGATAGGTACGTCATTTAGAATCTTGGTCAAATGGAACATAGCCCAGACCTCTATTAAACTACACAGTCCATTTAAATCTAGGGTGACAACCGTATGAAGAGAAATTTTCTGTTTTGGCAGAGCGACTAATCAATTTCTACTATTTTGTTTGTGGCTCCGTTTACCTTGCCTCTGGGGTGTGTACAGTTCAGCTACCT